CCTGGATTCCCTGTGTTTCCAGTTCCTATCTGTACCAGGGTACATCCTCTGGTACAGCCGGGTTTGTAAAGTAGAATTGGGATCATGATAGTGTGGGTGGAGCGGGGAGGAAGCATTTAAGAACTAGAGGAAAGTTGTATGTTTCATCATTGCTACACTGCACCCTGACTGGCTCATCTCCTCCCCGCGACCCTTCCCTAAGGGGATGGCCGGTTGCCTACAGATGGGCTTTGGGTCCCCACTCTGCACTCCCCTTCATTCACAGTGATTTGATTTTTTTGTTCTTTGATGCCTGATACCTGATCCCTTCGATACCTTGTGATCACATAGGCTGATATGCTTCTTCCATGTGGCCTTTGTTGCTTCTGAGCTAGATGGCCACTTGTTTACTATCAAACCCTTCAAGACCCCAGATGCTGTATCTTTTGATAGCCAGGCACCATCAACTATCTTCACCACATTTGCTTATGCACCCATTTGTCTTCAGCGATCGCATTGGTGAGATGAGCACACAAAGATACGATTTTTTGTTCTTTGATGCCTGATAACTGATCCCCTCAGCACCTCATAATCACACAGGCTGGTGTGCTTCTTCCATGTGGGCTTTGTTGTTTCTGAGCTAGATGACCACTTGTTTATCTTCAAGCCTTTAAGACCCCAACTGCTATATCGTTTGAAGGCCAGGCACCATCAGCTTTCTGCACCACATTTGCTTATGTACCCATTTTGTCTTCAGCGATCGTGTCTGGAAGATGAGCATCACAGAATGCTGGATTATGAGAACAGTTTTCTTGTGTTGAGGGAGTACCTGAGTCAAGATCCAATGTCCATCTGCAACCTTAATTCTTAACATATAGATATAAGTACATAGATCTATTCCCTTCTCATTATATATAAATATATATGTACACTGAGAAACGATGTACAAATGCGCTTTACACAATTGATGTGTGTATGGATTGGGATAACAGTTGTATGAGCCCCCTAATAAAATGTTAAAAAAGAAAAAATAATATATGTACATATGTTCATACCTGTATTTAGACCTCTATAAATGTCCTTTGCCTCCTGGTTCTTTCCTCTATTTACTTTTGCTTTCCTCTTGTACCACCATCATGTTCGGCCTTCATTCGGGTTTAGTAATTCCTCGCTGTTACATTGCCCTTGATTAAGCCCCACTAGGCATCCTATGCCCTTCCTTCCATTGATTTTAGTTCACTCGTCCTTGGGTTGGTTCCACCACTTCTTCCTTTCTCCCACCCCCCCTTCTCCCGTATCCCCTCCAACCCTTGGTCCCATTCTTTTCAGCTCTGAATTGTTTATCCCACCTATCTTTTCTAGATAGACATGCAGAGACATTAATAAGCACAAAAACCAGGCAAAGCCAAACAAAACAAAAACAACAAAGGAAGTAAAAACCAACAAAATAACAACAACAAACAAAAATGAAAATAAAATAACAACAAAAAGAAAGCCACTGACAAAAATGGAAGCGCCTATAAATAGTTCAAGGTCTGTTTATTGGCCTTTATGAGTGTTTTCCAGTCGAGTCTGATGGTATGCCACATTCTGTCTCCAATGTCTATTTTTGGTATTCCCTGGGGATATCACTTTGCTCCCCTTACTGTTCTGTTGCATGCCCTTAGTGTTTCACCCCAGTGGAATGGGGTCAGATTGGGCACAGTTCCCACACTGTGTCTGCAGTGTTGTCCCCTGTAACGCTATGGTTCAGTGAGGGATGTCGTGTCTCATGGTGGGGCCGGCCCTATGGTCCTCTCTGTGCATTGCCAGCTCTGAACAGGAATGTCAACCTCGGGGCTAGGTGGGCCAGGATGTGCTCCCCTCCCTCTCCATCACTCTTCGTGTCTCCTGTGTGCTCTGATCAGACGTGCCCCTCTCCCCAAGCTGTAGCTTCAGTGCTGTCCTCTGAAGTGCATTCTTCTTGAGGGGTCGGTGGAGGGGGGAATGTCCCCATAGTTGGGATTGGGGCCAGCCCCACAGACCTTTCTATTGGTTCTCTGGTACATGCCAGTATGTTGTATTCACATCTTGACATATCCGGTTGAAGCCTGGTCTCTGTCTCCCCCTCCTGTGGATATATAAACAATACCCTCCCCTTGGGTGGCTTAGTGCCCTACTCCCCCCACCCATGTCTTTTCTTTTCTTTTTTTCTTTTTCTTTCTTTCCCTTCGTATTTAGTTGGCTGCAGATGTATCCCTGGATTGGGTTTGGCCCCTGCCATAGTACCTGGACATCACCCCAGGAATGTATTTATATAGTAGCTTTTCCCCTATGCCCCATTTTTAAAGCTTACCTCAGTGGACTCATGTTGTATTTGTCCTTTTGTGCTTGGCTTACGTCACTTAGCATGATTTCCTCCAGTTCTTCCCATGTGGCAATGTGCTTCATGCGTTCATCACTGCTTTTTAGGGATGCATAGTACTCCATTATATGTATGTACCACAGTTTTTTTATCCATTCATCTGTTGACGGAAATTTGGATTCTTTCCAACTCCTTGCAATTGTGAACTGTGCCACGATGAACATTAGTGCACAAATGTCTGGCCATGGTTTGTTTCTTGCCTCTTCTGGGTATATGCGCAGTAGTGGGATTTCTGGGTCATATGGAAGCTTGATTTCATCTGTTTTAGATATCGCCAAATCGATTTCCATAGTGGCTGTACATACCTACAGGTCCACCAGCAGTGGACGAGAGTTCCTATCTCACTACAGCCCGTCCAACACTTGTTGCCTTCTGATTATTTGAATTGGGCTCTCTTCGAGAGTGTTAGGTGCTATCTCGTTTTAATTTGCACTTCTCTTATGGCTAAAGATCAGGAACATGTTCTTATATGTTTATTGACCATTTGGATTTCTGCCCCTGTGAAGCTTCTGTTCAGGTCCTTTGCCCACCTCCTCAGTGGGCAGTTAGTTTTTTCTTATTGTAAGCTTGCAAAGTATTGTAGATTTTAATAATAAAGCTTTTGTCTGATATGTCATTGCTAAAGATGTTTTCCCAGTCTGTGGACTCACTTATTACTCTCTTGGTGCATTCTTTCAATGAACACAGGTGTTTTATCTTCAGTATATCCCACTTGTCAATGTGTGCCTCCTCTGTGTTTGTGTCCTTCCCTATTTCTGATAGCCTTTGTATTCCCTGCACCAAAGTTCTCAGGTTTGTCCCAATTCCCTCATTGATGGCCCTAATAGTTTAGGGTTTTACCTCGAGGTCTGTAATCCACCTTGAGTTCATTCTTGTGCATGGAGTGAGGTAAGGGTCTTGCTTCGTTTTTCTGCAGGTAGATATCCATTTTTTCCAGCACTACTTGTTGAAGAGGGCATCTGCTTCCCATTTGATATTTTTTAGACCCTTATCAAAGATCAGTTGTCTATATGCTGATGATTTTATTTCTGGGGTTTTCAGTTCTTTTCCATTGGTCTGAGTGTCATTATACCAATACCACACTGTTTTGACCACTGTGGCTGTATAATAGATGCTAAAGTGAGGTAGTGCAAGCTCTCCTACTTTGTCCTTCTTCTTGAGGATTTCTCTGCGAATTCTGGGCTTTTTCTCTTGCCATGTGAAGTTGGTAATCCATTTTTCCAATTCTTTGAAGAAGGATGATGGTATTTGTATCGGGATAGCATTAAACTTATATAGTGCCTTGGGCAGAACTGACATCTTTACTATATTGAGTCTTCCAATCCATGAACATGGAATATTCAGTCTTAGCTTTTTCATATGTAACGTAAAGATAATTCTACCCTTTCCTCCAGGATTATTGTAGGGATTAAAGCAAAAGTATGGCACATGCCTAGGTTAGACCATGGCAGAGAACAAGTATTCAAGAAATAGAATGTATTCTTTTGTTATTACTGGTCCTAATAAGTGTGAATATTGCACTTCTGATTAAGAAAAAAGAATTATTAATATTTATTAAGCTGTCAAGTGTTTGTAATACTTATTTCCTATAGTCCTTTGTACTATACAAAGCACATTTTCAATTATTATGTCACTCAGTCCACCCAGCAACATGATAATGTGTACACTGATTCAGCTTTCAGAGTATCGGTGACTACCAGTAGCCAAGAAGGAGCGCTGGGGGCTCAATGGTCAAGCTCTAGCCTGCTTAATGAAAGAGTGCCACTACCGTAAAGATTAAATGTCTTTGCATTTTTGCTCACTCTCAAATATTGGGAGTCAGCATTCTGTATATTTTTGACCAGTCTCCAAAAATGTGTTTTTCTCCTTGAAATGATTCTGCTTCCACTCAAGCACACATTTCTGCTATCGTCCTAAAAGTTGTTAAGACGCAGAGGAAAGAGGCACATAAAACAACGTGAATAATCCACATTAAAATTATCATCTTAAGGAGCTGATATCAAGGGATCAAGTAGAAAGAAAATGCTTTGAAAATGATGATGGTAACATATGTACAAAAGTGCTTGACACAATGGATGAATGTATGGATTGTGATAAGAGATGTACGAGACCCCAATAAAATTATTTAATTAAAAAAATACACTATCGTACAAAAGGAAATATATTGTATGAGTGCAACTTGTCAAATTGACCACTGCTATAAAAAATAAAAATTAAGAAAAGGTTTCCATAGCCCCCCCAAAAAATATCATCTTAATTTTTATATCCCTTGATAATTGTCATAATGTAACAATTGTACATTGGAGAAGGACCTTGGCTATGGGAAATGCTGAATAAATATATATTTTTTAATAATTAAATCATTTTATTGGGGGCTCGTACAACTCTCATCACAATCCACACATACATCCATTGTGTCAAGCACTTTTGTACATTTGTTGTCATCATCATTTTCAAAACATTTGCTTTCTACTTGAGCCCTTGGTATCAGCTGCTCATTTTTCTCCTCCCTTCCCGCTATCCCCTCCCCCATGAACCCCGATAATTTATAAATTATTATTATTTTGTCATATCTTACACCGTCAGACATCTCCTGTATTAGTCTAGGTACTTTGGAGAAACAAATCCACAGCAACTCATGTATAAGAGAGAGTTTTATGAAAAGAAAATGTGCATCATGAAAACATCCCAACCCAATGCTGCCCAAGCCCACAAGTCCAACATTAACCCATACCCAACACCAGTCCACAAAGTCCTTCACCTCACAAAACAGAGGCAATGATGCCGACTGCAGGAGGAAAGCTGAGTCAGTGAACGTGTAAGCATCTCAGCACTAGCAGGGGTCTCCACACGGCTGCTCCAGCACCCAGGGCTGCATCGGGATAGATCCATGTAGCTTCTCCTTGGGGATGTCTTGTAGGAAGTCAATCTTGCAAGCTGAAGCAGGGAACTGCTAAGGCAGCTGCACCCGGTGCAGCCATCACAAAACAAGAGACCTGAGAACTAGAAAGGCGAGGCTTCACTACCCATTTATCCCTCCGCCTTTCAACCAGCCCCACATGTGATTATCGGCCAGGCTGGCACAATTAACTAACTCATCTCCCTTCACTCACTTTTCCATTGCCCATCCCCCAGGGAGGAGGTTATATGTAGATCCTGGTAATCTGTTCCCCCTTTCTCCCTCACCTTCCCTCCACCCTCTGGGTATTGCCACTCTCACAACTGGTCCTGAGGGGTTCATCTGTTATGGATACTCTGTGTTTCCAGTTCCTATTTGTACCAGTGTACATCCTCCAGTCCAGCCAGATTTGTAAGGTAGCATTGCGATCATGATACTGGGAGGTGGGGGTGAGAAGCATTCAAGAACTAGAGGAAAGTTGTATGTTTCATCGTTGCTACACTGCATCCTGACTGGCTTGTCTCCTCCCCGCAGCCCTTCTGCAACAGGTTGTCCAATTGCTCACACACAGGCCCTGGGTTCCCACTCTGCACTCCCCCTCAATCACAATGCTATGATTTTTTGGTCTTTAATGCCTGATACCTGATCCCTTTGATGCCTCTTGATCTCACAGGCTGGTGTGCTTCTTCCATGTGGGCTTTGTTTCTCAGTTAGATGGTCACCTGTTTATCTTCAAGCCTTTAAGACCCCAGACACTATATCTTTTGAAAGCCGGGCACCATCAGCTTTCTTCACATTTGCTTATACACCAGCACCGAATAAATATTTGCTGAAGTGAATTAAATGCATTATCCATTTTTTTCCCCATTTTTAAAAATGATAGTAACAACAAAGCACTCATTGAATGGATTAAAAAATAGATTTATTTAAGCATCAGGTATGACTGAATATATGACTTCTTCATGTAAAGGGTCCAAGAAAACCTACATTCTAATTTTGGTCATGATGCTAAATAATCCTTCCTCATTTGAACTGTCACTTCATCTCTTTCACAGTGACCTGCCTGATATTCAATCCAATTTAGATGATCATTCTCAATTTTAATGATGTTTAATGAGGGAGTTGGACTATATTTTGAAGAACTATTGAAACTCAAGCTAATATAGGAGACCAAAGGATTGTTATTTTCAATTATTATATTTAATAGTTATTTTCTATAGAAGTGTTTATTTTGATTCAAACAGGGAAAAATGCTTCTAAGAGGAAGTTACATGTAATTGTGACTTCATTCTTTTATATGAATTATTTAAATGGGATTTTCTTTCAGGAAACAGTTAAAGTGTTTTTAAAACATCCTTCAGTGAAAGATGATTCAGACCTTGAAGGAAGAACGTCTTTTATGTGGGCTGCTGGGAAAGGCAGTGATGATGTCCTCCAGACTATGCTGAGTTTAAAGTCTGACATTGATATTAACATGGCAGACAAATACGGAGGCACGGGTAAGAATTGGTAGGAATATCCAATTTGCTTCCAGTTATATTCCAAAGTAGAGATGGTGCTATAAAACCTGTAAAAAAAAGTAATTTGAAATAATTATTTCTAATCTAATATTGTTTGACTTTCATCTTCACTTTGTAAATTTAAGTTTGCCAGAATCCCTCCAAAGACTTTATTTTGTCCAAGTATTATGGATAAAATTAGCACTTAGTTCCACCAGGAGAATTGTAGCATTTGGTTTAAAACTTGAACATAATTATGAGAAAGACCACTTGTGATCATTTATATGTGAAAATAAGTATAAAATTTACTTTAGAACTATGTTTTGCAGTTTTTAATTATGTTTAATTATATTTTAACTAATTATAAATATCTAAGTACATTCTCATCACTCTCTCTCATGGTCCTCTTTACTCAGGTTTAAATTGTGCTAACTCATCTGGCTCTCCCATATCAGAGGTAACCTTGTGTTCCTCTAAAAGCTTCAAAATTCCAAGTCAGCTTTGCATCCAGATGTTTACTAGAAGCTTCTTTTGATCTCTTTTCCTAATAAAATAGATCTTTTACTGTGTGTTGGTTAATAACAGGGGCACACTTTTTTTTTAACATTCACTGCCAACTTGGCAATCTCACCCTGTGGACCGTGTGTGTCCCGATTACAAGCCAGAATGCGGAGAGCTCCACAGCAGCACAATGCCACTCAACCTCCTTTCCTTCCTCCTTTCTTCCTTCCTGCCTTGGCTTCTGCTTCTGCCTCTTCTCTTGTAGAAATGTGCTTTTGCTATTTGCACGTTGTCCATTAGAAGATCTTTTTGGTTAACAAAACTATTGATGTAGCATTGGTGAGGGCAGGCATTGCTATACCTAATAATCTCCCTCCTTATTCCTAGACCACCACACACCCTAAATAATTAAAAAGAGTGTTTTGGTGATACCAATTTTATGATAAAGGAACAAACTTTAAAAGTATTTCATTATCAGGCCTTAAGCTTCTTAATGATTATAGTGCAGACATGTAGGACTTTGTTTATAAATGGTCGGATCATTTAAATTTTCCTTCCCAAGTTTCCATTAGTCTGAGACTGTTCACTTTAGCCTTGCCTTTAGTTGAACTTTTTCATGTATTTTAATAAAATATTGGTGAGGATATTTGCATCTTTTTGACCAAAGATATTTTTCTAGTATGTACCAGGATTAGAGTTCAGACCATAAATGTTATTGGTTTTGCTCCCTGCTGATTTTGGAGCATTAATATAGGACCCAGTCCATAAAAGGTTCTCAACAAATTCCCAGAAATCTGCGTTTTTATAACCAGGTTGGGCCTATGGATCTTCTAGGTATTGTGGGGTCGTCATACTTAGAAACAGCGGGGCCCAAGTCTCGACCATTATCCTGGCAAATTCCACCTGCAGAGGGGTGGGGCAGTGGTGCTCTGTCACAGGAGGTCGCAGCTCAGTAGCACCTAGCAGCAACAACAGGGGTCAGTATAACGTGGACATCGCTGACTTTTGAAACCCCTTAGGAAGGTACCAGAGAGAAGACCGCATTCCATCTGTCAGTCTTCCCTCCAATGGTGAAACAAATGACTGTTTCTTAAATTGAACTTTTAAAAGTAGTGTGAAGTAAAATTGTATGAAAACTCACTGCATCAAGATACACCTATGTGAATACCTCAAAGCACCAGGAAATAAGTAGCACAAATAGCTAACTGAAGGAACGTCAGTAGATTGACGGTTCTAATTTCGTCTGCTTATTGGTGGAATGGTGGGCTGAGTAGCCTGCACAGTTTAGCTCATTTTCTTTGCTGTTATTTTTTCCCTTCCCTTCTTAGAAGGAGGAAGAGAGAAACGAGTAACTGAGAAGCGGATTCCATTTCAGACCAAACAGGAAACCGGGAGAGAAGAAAGGGAAAGAAAGGGTGAATGACACATATGAGTGGGAAGGAAATTAGAAATCTATAAAAGTGAAAAAATGAAGTAGAGAAACCAGAAGATTAGATTTCAAATAATGGGGACCACTTAGGACTTCATAAAAGTTCTCTTTAAAATAAGGAAGAAGAAGAAGGAAGAAGGTCCTAATGTAGGGACTCAGGACGATGGCCCTCAGCCACCCTTCAGACGTGAAACTACACTCATTCCTATGTTAGACTGATCAACCACTCAAGAGAAACAGCCAAAGGCACCATTCACCCAAGGACAAATTTCAGTAGGTTACAAGGAGAAATGGAAACAGAAAACCCGGGGCGGAAGTGGGATGAGAGATGGTACATTGAGTGATTGCAACGTGTGAGTTCAGACAAAATATGTAAGAATTGTTGCATATAAAAGTGATGTTCTTCTCCGTAAATCTTCACCTAATTTACAATAAATAGGTTCTTTTAAAAGATGAGGAAGTCAATGAGGAAACAATAAACGAAAAAGGGCAAATTTGTTATTAAATAATATGTCTTTTGCTTCCTTTGTAGCTTTGCATGCTGCTGCCCTTTCTGGCCATGTCAGCACTGTGAAGTTGTTATTGGAAAATAATGCTCAAGTAGATGCTACTGATGTAATGAAACATACGCCACTCTTCCGAGCCTGCGAGATGGGGCACAAAGAAGTGATTCAAACACTTATTAAAGGTTGGTTTTAAGAGTGCTCCTAATAAATCCCTGTCAAACTGTAAGCATTCTTTTTTATTTAATCGTTTTATTAGGGGCTCATCCAACTCTTATCACAATCCATACATACATCAATTGTGTAAAGCACATTTGTACATTCATTGCCCTCATCATTCTCAAAACATTCGCTCTCCACTTAAGCCCCTGGCATCAGGTCCTCAATATTTCCACTCCCTCCCTGCTCCCCTCTTCCTCAGGAGCCCTTGATAATTTATAAATTATTATTTTGTCATATCTTGCCCTGTCCGTCATCTCCCTTCACCCACTTTTCGGTTGTCCCTCCCCCAGGGAGGAGGTCACATGTAGATCCTTGTAATCGGATCCCCCTTTCCAGCCCACTCTCCCTCTACTCTCCCAGTATCGCCACTCATACCACTGGTCCTGAAGGGATCATCTGCCCTGGATTCCCTGTGTTTCCAGTTCCTATCTGTACCAGTGTGCATCCTCTGGTCTAGCCAGACTTGCAAGGTAGAATTCGGATCATGATAGGGCCGGGGACAGGGGGAAGCATTTAGGAACTAGAGGAAAGTTGTGTTTTTCATTGTTGCTACATCGCACCTTGACTGGCTCTTCTCCCCAAGACCCCTCTGCAAGGGGATCTCCAGTGGCCTACAAATGGGCTTTGAGTCTCCACTTGGCACCCCCCCCCCCTCATTCACTATGGTAAGATCTTTTTGTTCTGATGATGCCTTATACCTGATCCCTTTGACACCACGTGATTGCACAGGCTGGTGTGCTTCTTCCATGTGGGATTTGTTGCTTCTGAGCTAGATGACCACTTGTTTACCTTTAAGACCCCAGACGCTATACCTTTTGATAGCCGGACATCATCAGCTTTCTTCGCCACATTTGCTTATGCACCCATTTGTCTTCAGCGATCGTATCATGGTGGTGTGCACACAAAGATAAGAGTTTTTGTTCTTTGATGCCTGATAACTGATCCCTTCGGCACCTCGTGATCACACAGGCTGGTGTGCTTCTTCCATGTGGGCTTTGTTGCTTCTGAGCTAGATGGCTGCTTGTTTACCTTCAAGCTTTTAAGACCCCAGATGCTATATCTTTTGGTAGCCGGGCACCATCAGCTTTCTTCACCACATTTGCTTATTCACCCGCCTTGTCTTCAACGGTTGTGTCGGGAAGGTGAGCATCATAGAATGCCAATTTAACAGAAGAAAGTGTTCTTGCATTGAGGGAGTACTTGAGTGGAGGCCCAATGTCCTTCTGCTCCCTTAATACTAAACCTATAAATATATGCACATAGATCTATTTCCCCATCCTCATATCTGTAAGCATTCTTATGAGCTTAGTTTAACATAAAGCTTTCCATAGTAGGCTAGCACTCAACCTAGCTTCAAGAAATAGTGGTCCTACTCTTAGCTTTATCTACTGCTAGTTGTTTGATTTTGGAAAATTTCCTTCTCATTCCTGACCCTCAGTTTTATTTTATATGAAAGGAGAATAATTCAGATCCTGAATAACTCAGAGACTTATTATAAAAATCCAAAAAGCTAACGTATGTGGAAGCTTTTTGCTAACAGTATAGGATGTGTTGACACTGGCTGCCACCAGGGGTTCAAACATAACAGTTATGAGACGGTGCAAGATCAGGCCCTTCTTACTCTGTTGTGCATAGGAACACTGTGGGTCCAAACCAACGCGAAAGCACCAACAGATGATTACATATTTTTACTCTTATCTCCATGTTTTGAGATTGGTGTATGTGTGTGTGGTGAAATGTATACACCAATAAAAATGTATACACCATAAAATTTGTCCTTTTAATCTTTTTTAAATGTACAATTTAGTGGTCTTACATATGTTCACAATGTTGTACAACCATCACTACTATCTATTTCCAAAACCATTTCTATCAACCCAAGCAGAAACTCTATGCCTCTGAAGCAATAACTCTCCATTCCCCTCGTCTTTCTACTTCTCCCTCAGTCCATGGTACCTTCGTTCTACTTTCTCCCTCTACTAAAGAGCATATTCTGGATAATTCACATCATTGAAATCATGCAATTCTTGTTCTTATTTTTCTAAGTTATTTCACTCAGCATGATGTTCTTCCATGTTCTAATTTGTATTAGAATGTTCTTCCTCTTTGTGACTGAATAATATTCTATTGTGTGTATGTGCCACATTGCAATGATCCAGTCATCTGTTTCCACATTTTGGCTATTGTGAATATTGCTTCATTGATGATTAGTATAGTAATATTTGTTAGTCTCTATTTTCCATTATTTTGGGTATGTTATACCCAGAAGTGGAATTGCTGGTAAACCTGTTTAACTTTTTGAGACATTTATTTTTATAACTGTTCTATATATAGGATATTTTCATTATATCTTTACTTTTCCAGGTGGAGCAAGGGTGGATCTAGTTGACCAAGATGGACATTCTCTTCTACATTGGGCAGCACTGGGAGGCAATGCTGATGTTTGCCAGATACTTATAGAAAATAAAATCAATCCAAATGTGCAAGATGATGCAGGAAGAACCCCTTTGCAGTGTGCTGCATATGGAGGATATATCAACTGTATGGCCGTGCTCATGGAAAACAATGCAGACCCTAACATTCAAGACAAAGAGGTAGAAAGCCCAGGTCTTTTCCATTCAAACATGCTTTCTCAGAATGGTTAGAATATTTCATTCTTCTTTGTTGTAAAACAGTAGTTTACTTAAATGGCCACCTAGAAGTTCATCTGTTTGTCATAAATGATTTTTATTTGTCTATGATCTCCTCCAGTCTTCTACTGTATCCAAATATAATTTAATATAACTGTAAAACAAAATGGGAATAATTTTATAACTTTTATTAAATGCACAATATATACACGGGCATATGTATATGTAAAAATCACATATATATGTAAATGTGATATTAGAAATATGTTTTGTCCACTTAAAATCATCATCAGCATTTTTCCATCTTGGTATATCACTCTTTTATAAATATGAATACTTCATGTTCCAAAGCTCTAAGAAGTAAGGCAATATTTACTAAGTTGAGGAGGTAAGATGCAAACTATGCCTTTAACTCAAATATTTAGAATTAAGAAGCTTCCTATTTTAATGCTTTATTATTATTACAGAATGTTACATTAATCCTCTTTATCCAGGTAGCTTTTGGGGGTATTAGCTCCTTAAATTATTGAATTACAACAACAAATTATTTATCCGAGACGCTGGAGGACAGATTAGAACTGCTCCTGTGGGTTTCTGAGCTGTAACTCTTTATGGGGACACAAAGTCTCATCTTTCTCTCATGGTGTAGCTGGTGGGCTTAAACTGCTGGCCCAGTGCCACAAGGGCTCTTCAAGAACTGATTTATAAAACATGTGGGTTAATGTGTACTTCCCCCACCTATGTAGGAATATGTTATTTTCTCTCAATCTGGGCTGTTTTTTGGTTGCTATTGTAACTACTTTAACTTTTAAAAGATATTTGATTTCAACATCATTTGCAATACGCAGGGACATCATGCAACAAATATTAAGAATTTTAGTATAATTTTTAAAATATAAGATATGGATCTTGTTCTCAAAGAATTAGGATAAATCATTTTAATCATTTTATTGGGGGTTCATATAACTCTTATCACAATCCATACATACATCAATTGTGTAAAGCACATTTGTACGTTCGTTACTCTCATCATTCTCAAAACATTTGCTCTCCACTTAAGCCCCTGGCATCAGCTCCTCGTTTTCCCTCTTTTATAATGTACAAACCAAACCTGCTGCCGTCAAGTCGATTCTGACTCTGTCATAGACCAGCACTAAGCTGCACAGGGTTTCTTGGCTGTAAACGTATGAAGCATATCACCGGGCTTTTCTTCCACAGCCATGCTGGTGGATCAGACCCGCAACTTTCGGTTAGCAACCATGTGCACACCAAGCTTTTATAGATTTCACCAGGTTGGAAGTTTTGTTTTGTTTTTATGTACAATATATTGTCATCCTCCAGTGCTAAAAACTTCTGATTATTCTTTTGAACCATCTATGTAAATAATCATGCCATTTGTGAATAATGACCTTTTTATTTATTCCTTTCTAATTCGTATGCTTTCATTTCTTTGCTTTGTCTTGTTGCCCTAGCTGGGAGCTACAAAGCAGTGTTGAACAGAATTGATGATAGCTAGCATCTTTAATTCACTATTTCATGATTCAGTGTTATGTTTGGTATCAGTTCCTTTAGATTTCTAGCTGTTAAGAGTTTATAGTTGTTCATTTTTTCAATGTAAGTGTTTCATTTTTGCCAGGTACTATTTCATATCTACCAACATGATCATATTATTTTCCTCTTTTTTTTCTGTTAATTGGTGAATTATATGCATTGATTTTTCAGCTCTCAAGCCATCTTTGCATTCCTGGAATAAGTCCTATTTATGATGAGTCATGTTTTCATATACTGATAGATTTTCTTTGATAATGTTTTACTTAAGATTTTCCTATCGGACCAGCCTTTAAACACCAAAGGCAGGGAGAAAAGTCATATCCTTGTCAATGAGGGTGGTGCGCGATGGAGACCCAATGTCCATCTCCAGACAACTGGACATACCTTGCAGAGGGGTAGTGGGGAGATGAGTCACTTAGGGTACAGTATAGCAACAATGAAGCTCACAATCTTCCTCTAGTTCTTAAACGCTTCCTCCCCCCAACTACCAGGACCCCAGTTTCGCCTTGCAGACCTGGTTAGACCAGATGATGCACAGCGGTACAGAGGGGAATTGGAAGCGCAGGGAATGTAGGACGGAAGAAACTCTCAGGACCGGGGGTGAAGGGGGCGATATCAGGAGGGAAAGGGGAGGTAGTAAGGGGGAATGGATCACAGGGAGCCACATATGGCCTCCTCTCTGGGGGACGGGCAGCAGCGGGGTGGGTGAAGGGAGGCGCCGGACAGTGTAATATAAGATACAATAATAATTTATAAATTATTAAGGGTGCATGGGGGAAAGGGGAGGGGAGGGGGGGAAAATTTTAAAAAAAAGGAAAATGAGCGGATTCCGGGAACCCAAGAGGCAAGAAAATTTTGGGAATGATGAGGGCAACAAATGTATAGATGTGCTTTACACAATTGATCTATGTATTGTGACGAATTGTATGAGCCCCAATAAATTGATTAAAAAAAAAAAAAAGATTTTCCTATCTATATTCATGAAAGAGATTAACTTCTAATTTTTCTTTCCTGTATTGTACTTACCAGGTTTTGGCAACATGTTTATGCTGGCTTTCTAAAAAGAGTTAAGATGCAGTTCTTCATTTTCTGTTCTCTAGCAGAGTTTGTATAAAATTGGTGTCCTTCTTTTCTTAAGTGTTTGGAAGAACTCCATGATTTTAAAAAAAATCTGGCCTTAGGAATTTCTTTATACAACAGTTATTAGTAATTGATTCAGTTCCATAAATACTTATAAGCCTATTTATATTTTCTAATTATTTTCCTTTCAGTTTTGGTAACATATTTAGATGTTGTTGGTTTAAGAATTTCTCTATTTTATTCAAAATACCAAATGTATTGGCTTAACGTTATTCATACAAGGGAGGTCCAAAAAGTTTGCAGTACTATATTATCTTTTAATTTCATTTTTAGAAGCGCACTCATGAATCTCCTTTTTATTTTGATCTCTGTAGGGTCTGTAAGTAGTTCCCTCTTATTTATTAAACATAGTGATAAGGCATTTTCTTCTTGTTTTATTCTCCAGCTTACATAATCAGTTTTTCGAAAAACTAACTTTTCTTTGTTGATTTTCCACATTTTAAGTTTGTTTGCTATTCTACCGGTGTTTCCTATTGCTACTATTTCTTATGAGAAAAAAAAAATGGCCCAGGGGCCACATCTGACTTCCTCTTGGTCCCAGGGCTGACTGCCATAAAACCTGTGCCACAGAAAACCTTCTGACATGATTGCTTTGTCCCCAGAGCACTCTCTACTTTCAGCTGGGTTTGATCACTTATTGCAGTGGCCACAAGGAACTCACAGTTGAGAACTTCTCAAAAGTTTCAAACTCTCTTCTGACGGCCACTTTAATCTTTTGTTTTTTCCTGTCTTTTTTGATGACTTTTGCTTTCTTCATGAATGATGTTCTTGACGGCTTCCCACTACTCCTCAGGTCTTCTGTCATTCATGTTCTGTCGGGGGAGGTCGGATGCTTACAGACATCCTCCCTGAAGACAGTCAGTCACAAGGGAGTAGGCCCTGCTCCCTGCTTCTGGACACAATGGATTACTTCTCCCTAAGGCTGGCGACCATTAGCTTGGTTCCTGTAGGTGGTTCCCTACTGCTAATGGTTCCTATGCAGATCCAGAGACAGATCAAACCCACTCAGTAAATCTAGGATCTGCCCATCTTGTCACAAGTATACCCCCAACCCCTCCTCTTTCTGTTGGGTGTATGTCCCTAGACCATCCCCTCTCACTGCTGTAAACCTATAGTGCAACCCTTCCTGTGACGTATGTCTTTACCTGTAGTTAGTGAGCTTGCACTCCCCCAAACGTATATAGGCCTGGGTTAGCAATAGAGAGCTCTCTCTCCTCCCTCGCTCGCTCAGCTCCCCCTCCCCTCTCCTGTCCCTTCCTCACTCCCCTGGTCCCTTTCCCCTTGTCCTCCTTCCCTTCCCCCTCTCTCCACGTGAACCATCAAGCAGGGCTGATGTGAGCAATGCTACCATGGAATGTGTCTGACTCCATTATTGTAATATCTCTTTTATCTCTCATGCTCTTGATGACTTTAATATAATATTTATATATCTCAACTGTACAATTGTGCTTACTGAACCCGAGACTAGCGGTGGAGAGCTGGCACCTCACTTCATACCGCAGTGTTCAGCAACAAATCTGTTCTTGAGATGTTCCTGAAATCCAGGTGGGATAGACTCAAAATCCTATTTTGGCTCTTGTGAAATTGTTTTAATTGTCTTCATCTGTACTTACATATGAGCAATTGGTGGTCTGCTCCACAGTCAGCCTGTTGCCTGGTTTTAGCTGGTTTTAGCTTCCTAAAGATGTAGTTGACTTGACTTCTGTGTCTTCCATCTGAAGCAGTGCCTTTTGGATTGTTGAAGAAAGGTGTTTTCTATGAACAAGTCATTGGTCTTCCAAAATACTATCTTGCAACCTCCAGCTCCATTTCTGTCACCAAAACTATACTTTCTAATGGCTCTTGCTTCTTCTTTGTTTCCAATTTGCATTCCAATCACCAATAATTATCCATACATCTTGATTGCTTGTTGATGAATTTCAGACTGAAGACATTGGTAGAATCCTTCAGTTTCTGCATCAACTAGCTTTAGTGGTCAGTGAATAAGTTTGAATAATCGTTTTATTGATTGGATTTCCTTGAAGGCAAGTAGATATAACCCTATCACAGACAGCATTGTACTCCAAGACAGATCTTGCAATGTCTTTCTAACAATGAATTCAATGCCATTCCTCTTGGTTGTGTCATTCCTAGATTAGTAGACTCTATGATTTTCTTATTCAAGATGGCTAATAACCGTCCCTTTCAGCTCAGGAAAGCCTAGGGTATTGATCTCTATGTTAAGGGCACTAGCGCCCAATAACAGCCCTCAAAAAGAATGTGAATTCGGTTCTCCTGGAGTGCAGTGTTCTGGAGCTGTCACTTAGAAGATATTTGTTGTCATGCTGCTCAGGTAGTCTATAGCCACACGTTCTTTTGTCTGTTTGTCCTATCAACCATTGTAAAAGAGGAGTTAAAAATCTCCAATGATGATTAATGGATGTAGCTTTCTCCCTTTCTAGTTTTGTCAAGTTTACATAAGAACGGAGGGTTTTTAAAAGTTCATGGAATAAATAAAATGGAAAGATAATGGAATTTTTCCGTGAACACTTTGAAGGCCCCTGGTATATTTAGGGGCATGTTATTAGGTGCACACAGATTTAGGATTGTGATATTTTCCTCTTGGAGTCCTTAATGTAATGAATGCATCCTCTTTGTACCTAGCAGTGCTTCTTGCCTAGTCTGTTAGCTTTCCTGACATTGAAATTATTTTAAAAGATAAGTTGCATATTTTGTAGGATATTACTTAATTTGGGTTTTCCCCTCTGTTTCCTCTTAATTAAATACAGGTTTTACATTTTTTAATATTATATACGTGATGTTGAATAATTTTCAGTTTATTTGTTCTTTAAGATAGCATTGATTTTGATCACTTGGTTATAATAATATTATACATTCCTCCCTTCCCTCCCCTTGGTATACTTAATATATTTGTAATTTTTTGTTTTTCTAATGAAGCAGTTTGAGAGAGAATTGCTTGTTTGTTTCTTTTAGTTATCAAAGCTATTAACATGTCTAAATATGCATGCTCCAGATTTACTTGATTGTTATCATTGCTCCTAGGGAAGAACAGCTTTGCACTGGTCTTGTAACAATGGCTATCTTGATGCCATTAAATTATTACTGGACTTCGCTGCTTTCCCTAATCAGATGGAAAACAATGAAGAGAGGTAAGCTACTGGTCAAAAGAGTGTACTGCTGTTTCTCTCACACCTTTTCTGCCAGGCTCAAAAATCGCAAGTTTAGACATTCATACAGAAAGAATATGTGTACTCATAAGGAAACATGATACTAAGAACTCTTGAACTAGAAGAAAAAAGTAATATACATTATTGACTTGGAATCATTAAATGTTATAGCTATTAAAATTTTTACTTATTACCTAGGGCAAGCTTACATTTTATAGGTGAAGAAATTAGAAAGCCTTTTTCTGACTATGGCTACCTAAGACTGAAATCCTCCCGATTGTCTAGACTACCATTGACTTGGCTACCATGAACAACTATTTCATTGTTGCTTGTGCCGTGCCATCATTTCAATACAGTCACCTCTCAGAAGACTGTCCTGATCTTGTGGTCGTGTATCCAATCTTCTGTTCTCCCATACATTTTGTGTATTTTTATACCACTTAGCACATGTCTCTTTGTCTTACAGTTTTATGCAATCTATCTTCCCTTTAAGAATAGAATTTCAAAAATAAATACATAAATAAATACTGTTTTTAAAAAAGAATAGATTTTCAGAGGATGGTATTTCTGTATTTCTCACAATGTTTTGCAAGACATAAGCGCTTAGTAAATACTACGGAATTCTAAGGGCACATGCAGAATAAGATAAAGCAAGCTAAAATCACTTGAGTGATTGTAGGAAAACCCCACTCTATTATATTCTGACAACTGAATAACAAAAAAGACTTAAAGATTTAGGGATGTGGATATCCAGGGAAGCTAGAAAGCCAAGGAAAATCCTCAAGACTGAGCTTTTGACATTGAAGCAGATATGTGCAAGCGCTGCAGACAGCACCCTTTAAAGCCTTGCGGGGGTGGGAGAAGAAGACTAAAAATCCTAAGAATTAGTGATGATTTATTTCTATACACAATTCATTCTTTAGCAGTATTTATTCTCTGGCTGCTTTTTAGAAATTATTTTTTGTAAGAGAGTAATACAAATATATATTCATATATGTATATATTCCTTGTAGTTCAGTTTTCCATTTTTACACTCAGTCTTGAAGTTCAGACCTAAGTAACCACATGAATTAAAGTACTTACTGCCTCCTGGAGTAAGCATATATTAATTACAGACCAAAAAGCCCAAGGAAAAAATCTTCCTAAGTTCCTAGCTGTACTTGCCAATGTATAGATAAAAGGGAGACTGTGACAATATCCCAGTCTCCTTTAATGTCTCATCAACAATGCACTTTGATGTACAAATGTCAGAACTGGGCACTGCCTTTTATCTTTATTGACATTCCAGTTTAGGCATTCTACTCATCCCATCAGACCATTCCCCGCTGGCAAGTCCAATTGTATCTAGTCTCTTGTCTTTATCTACATTGTATCTTGGCTGGTTACCATCAATGTAGTGCTAATTTTTACTTCTCATGCATTGACACTAAGCACTTGATGTGCACTGCATAGACATGATTTTTGCCAACCACTGCTGACTTCCAGTCAATAACTTATCTGACAGTCACACTCCAACATTGATGGGAATATTCAGAGCACTTGAATGTTTCTGAATTGAACTTGGTTGAAGATAGATTCAGAAGTAATCATCACAATGTGGTCAGTTAAGTATTAAGGTATAGACTTAAACATTAGGTGTAGACTTCAATTATAAAACATTACTAGGTTTTTGAGCGTGTCTCCTTGAATCAAAAATGGACTGAGAATCCTGATTTTAATAAGCCAAACTGTGAAAAAAGGACATTTGGGGGAAATTTTGAAACTTTTTAATATGTCATGGGCTTCATATTTTGCTAAGGAATTCTTGCTCATTGAGTTGGTACATTAATAACCTTGCAGTTTTGTCCATCTTATTTATAAATGAATATTGAAGTATGTGGAGATTAAGTGATAGGAATTCTAGGGGTTGCTTTGAAACATTTTAGCAAAAATATAAAAGAGCAGGTTAGTTGAAGCAAACATGACAAGCATCTACTAATTGTTAGATTTGGATACTCAGTAAATAAGTTTATTATGATTCTATTTTTGTTTGTGCTTGAAATTTCTTTATATTAAAAATATTTAAAATGCGATTTTCAATCCAGAAAGAAATCTAGTTCTTTCTTCTTTTCATCTTTTATAGATGAGGAAACAGAAACTGGGACATTACGTAAGAGAATCTCCGGGGTCACATGGGTCTCCTGACTCCCATGTCAACATTCCCAAGGGGATCTTATGTCCCATGTTATTTCTTTTGGGGATATTTGTAAGCAAAGGTGTAGTTAGGCCTTACATTTCATAAACCATTATCAATAGAACTGCTTGTATGCTAGATATAAGATACTACATACTAATAACTATAGGAAAAGTCATTCAAGCTTATGAAAAGGCACATTGATTTTAGAAACCACTTCATTCTATAGAAAACATATATTCGATAGATAAGATGTGTTGTTAGAAAAGTTACTGAACTGGGAGTCACCAGACCTTAGTGATAGCCTAGCCTCTGCGGTTAGCTGGTTTATGCAGCCTTGAGCATGTTGCTTAACTAATCAGGAGATGCTTATTTATCTAGAAGATGAAACTAATCAGATAGATGATTATAAAACTTCAATTTAGCTTTACTATTCTGGGGTTTTGAGATTTCTCTAATCTTTTCCATTGAGAAAAGTACTCATGAAAGGCATTCGGGCATATATTGTTAAATGCGGGGGGGAAATTCTTCTGAGTTTACAAAATACTAAATAATTCTACATAATATTTTAAAGTTTGTAGTATAAGCTACTCTACTTAAAGTCTTCTTATCCCTAGACAGTAGTAACAGGTTGGGCTGTCCTAAAGTGGAGCTTCTATAATGTCAGCATTTGGAGTGGAATTGTCTTCCTTTTATGTCTTCCTTTTGATAGTGCCAGCTGTTTCCTGTAATCGTTGGATGAATCTGTATCTAATTGTGTATTCATAGAATCACAAGTTTTTCCACCTCACTGGTCAGCTGATTCTTAGCCCCTAACACCTCTGATTGTGTTGGGTTAGTATCATTCACCAGCGAGGAAGCGGCATCAGTGGCCACCAGTAAGTGGTCATAAATACTAGTTAGGTACGCTGGAAATAATATTTATGATAGGACATAAATCATATATGTCCTGGAATAGTAATAATACCTTTATTATTAACTGCTCCTTTGTGCTCGGCAGAATGCTATATTCTTTTGTATTTATTACTTCATTTTCTCCTCCTGCCAACTCTGTGAAGGGTTATCTTGTTTCACAGATGAGGAAAGCTGATGCTTAGAAACACCAAGTAAGTCGTTTAAAAAGTGACAGTAATGATACCCATTTCTGGATGACAGATTTTGAGGTGTTTGTTTTTGTTGGGGTTTTTTTTCTATTTTAATTTTGTACTTTTAAGCATTGTTTGAATTCTTAAATTACATATGATTTTGACAAAGTAATTATTTGTATTTAAAGAGTAAAAGCCTTTCTACCAAGATATTAACAGTGGTTGATACTGACAGTGAAAATATGGAGAATTGTTACTTTCTTCCATGTATTTATCTGGTTTGTCTTTTTAAAGATGTTTGCTTAAAATTGTTCATCAAGAAAGTAGCCACATTGAGATTCAAATGCAAAACTATATAAAAACAAAGCCTGTCTTTTCTAAATAATGTCTATCAAAAAGGCTCTGTATGTGCATTGCACAAAATTCCAAAGGCAGAATTCAATGAAACTAAATTGTCTCTCGCTCTCCTACCTCTGAGACAACCAGTTTTCTCCTTGTGACCTGTTTTCTGGGGCAACTTGTGACGCCCTCTTTGCATAGATAAGCATTTAATTAACTGCTGCAGCATAGGCCCCAATTCATCGTGACCCCAAATGCTGTCAAGGACCAAAATGCTGTCCGGCACTGCACCACCCGGGATTGTTTATGGGCTCGACCATGGGGGTCCATTGAGTTTGCACTGGCTGATTTCAAGAGTAGATTGGCATGACGCTCTTCCAAGTCCATCTTGGTCTGGAAATTCCACTGAACCCTGTTCAGTATCAGAGCGCATGGAAGCTGCTGACATAGAGGTGGTGGTTGTGCATGTGGTGCATTGGCCAGGAATTGAACCTCATCTGCTTCATGGAAGGCGAGCTTTCTAACACAGAACTGCCACCACCCCAGAGATAAGCTTACATGGATAGTCTCTTTTATACAAATAGAGTAGACATTGATGCTGTTAGGTGTCTTGGTTAGTTCCATGTCGCATCCTGAGAGTGTTCCGTATCTGTTGGCATGCAGTAGTCATGACTTCCTCCGGCGGGTGCCTTCATGACATGGATGCTCTTTGCTTCTTTAAAGTCCTCTGTTGCTGACGGTGAGGTTGTTTCTCCATTTGCTGTAATAAACTGTGGTCTTGTGAATAGCTTTGCACCTACAGCATTTCACACATAAAAGTATATCTCTAGGGTGAATGTAAGTGAAATGGTTAAGTCACAGGGCATATGCATGAATAATTTTGATAAATATTGCCAAGTTATTCTCCCTGAAGGTTAAAATGGCAGAGGAGTGAGCCTGTCTACCGGCCCCAGTCCTGGCCAGCATAGTGCGCGAAAGTCAGTGAAAGGTGCTCTCTTAAGTTAGCCTGCATTTTCATTTCTTCGATTTTGAGTCAGATTGAACACATTTTTATTTTTTTAGGAGCTATTAGTATTTTCTTTTGGGGGTAGGGCTACCTTTATCCTTTGTTTTTGCCCTGCATAATTTTACTATTTTTATATAGTTTCCTTTACTGGTCTTCTTTTATAATTTTGAGTTTGTATCATCTTCTTTTACTAGAAAGGACTTCCCACTCCAATTTTTTTTTTAATTCTTCATGATTTCTTCTAGTATTTTCATGTTTTTTAAATATATATTTAGATCTTCTCTCTATCCAGAAATTAATTTTGGTGTAAGATGTGATACAAGAATCTTTTTTACTTTCTACACAGTTCTCTTAATACCATTTAATTAATGACCCATCTTTTCTGTAGTAATTTCAAATGCCAGCTTTATCACACACTAATTTTTTTCCCTTTAGAGGTAGGTCTGTTTTCTATTTCACTAACAATTATTAGCAGTAATCATGGGCTCGAATTTAACAATCTTAAAGAATATTTTTTGTGATACATTTTTCCAGTAGAAGGGGCTGAGTTAGGTTATTGTGCCAACCTGGACAATAAACACATGTGGGATTAATTGAAGGGCGGAGCTTGATAAATGGCTTGGTGAGGCTCGCCTTTCGAGTTCTCGGTCTCTTGCTTTTTGATGGTTGCATAAGGGTGCAGCTGCCTTAGTAGTTCCCAGCTTCAGCTTGCAAAGCTGACTTCCTGCAAGACATCCCCAAGGAGAAGCCACAGGATCTACCCCGATGCAGCCCTCGGTGCTGGGGCAGCCGTGTGAAGACTCCTGCCAGCGCTGAGATGCTTACCCGTTCACTGACTCTTCTTTCCTCCTGCAGTCGGCGTCATTGCCTGTGTTTTGTGAGATGGAAGAGGAATTTCTGGACTGGTGTTGGACATATGGGTTAATGGGTTAATGTTGGACTTGTGGGCTTGGGCAGCACTGGGTTGGGATGTTTTCTTGATGCATAGTTAACCATTATAAAAAACTTTTTTACATGAGTTTCTGTGGATTTGTTTCTCTAAAGTACCCAGACTAATACATTATGGTACCTTGGGAGTTGGGTACTGGAGAAACAAATCATAAGATAGAGAGTAGATGTTTGTTTGACCTCTCCCTCATGGAAGTTTTCCTTCTTTGTCTAGCCAGAGGTCAGATAAAGCCACACTATTAACTCGGTTGCTTTTCTGGGGAAAATATGGGAAGTAGGAAAATAGAAAGTTTGTAAGTCCACTTGTTTCGGTCAGTAAAATTTGATCTTTAAATGGGTTTAGGCCATGTTTGTAAAAAAGCTTTGAAAATATATGTCCCACCCAGTGCTTTGGAGTACTAAGGAACCAGGAGTCTTTGTCAGAAGCTGGTAAAAATCTGGAGCCATGAAGAACACTCTCTGGGACTGAATGTTAAAGGGAGCCTGAGAGCAGGCTGAAATGCTTGTTGGTGACCACCTGGATCTACTTGTTGAGTGGAAGTGGGAGAAATGTAGCAATAAAGAGACAGGTTGAGTTTGACCACTGACACCTGTGGACTTGGTTTACAGGGGGGAAAAAGGAGAAGACGAGAGCGGGTTGGCTGGTCTAAGGTTCATGACCTAGCCAGAGGGCGCTAGGCATGTTGAGTTGGTGAGAGCCCATGGTCTAAGACAAGGCCACCAATGGGCACCCTGTGGAGGCTGAGTGAGGCAGCCCACATTGAGTTGACCAGAACCCGACCAGCTGGAGATTTTTGAGCCTGTGAACTGGTGCATGTTGTTGCTGACTTTATGGATGGCCTGTCCGGATTTGACTTTGCCTATGGATGCAGACTTCACAAGGTTCCAACTGGAATGAAGACTCTTCATGCTGAAAAATATTATTGTCTTCTCAGAGAACTGGGTTGATGTAAGTGGGCAGTATATAAATTGGATACCCAAAATTGGGGGAGATAAAGGCATGAAGTGGTTGGCTTACAAACTTTCATAGGTGGGGGGAAAAATTCACAGGATTATAGGCTTAAGATGTAGGTGTTACTTAATTGCAAATGTGACGCTAAAGAATTATGTACAGGTGCTAGGTTGGCAAGGGGTGGATTGAGTTAGGTTATTGTGCCAACCTGGCCAATAAACACACGTGGGGTTAATTGAAGGGCGGAGCGATAAATGGCTTGGTGAGCCTCGTCTTTCCCGTTCTCGGAGCTCTTGCTTTGTGATGGTTGCACCAGGGTGCAGCTGCCTGAGCAGTTCCCAGCTTCAGCTTGCAAGGCTGACTTCCTGCAGGACATCCCCAAGGAGAAGCCACAGGATCTACCCCGATGCAGCCCTGGGTGCTGGGGCAGCCATGTGGTGACTCCTGCCAGTGTTGAGATGCTTACACGTTCACTGACTCGGCTTTCCTCCTGCAGTTGGCGTCCTTGCCTCTGCTTTGTGAGATGGAGGAGGAATTTCTGGATTGGTGTTGGACATATGGGTTACTGTTGGACTTGTGGGCTTGGGCAGCACTGGGTTAGGATGTTTTCTTGATGCACAGTTAACCATTATAGAAAACTCTTTTACATGAGTTTCTGTGGGTTTGTTGCTCTAAAGTACCTAGACTAATACAGGGGCATTATTTGTTACAGGAGAAAGAGGGAAACTGGATCACAACCCCCAACTAGTAAGCCAGCCAGCGCAGGTCAGCAGTTGCCACGGTTTGTGGCTCAAAGCGCTGGACCCCAGGCATAGTCCCCCTTGTTTGACACCCCCACCCCTTGCCCCAAGAGTTTCTAAAGAACAAAGGAACAGACTTCAGTAGAGAAGGTGGTTTTGCCTGGGTAATGCTCCACGTTTTAGACTGAGGTTTCCTTCTGTTACATCATGTATCCAGCTTAGTTGTGCCTTGAGCTGCATTCCAATAATAGGTGCATATTAAATTCATGTGTGTGTATCTTCTACTTCAGATACACACCCCTTGACTATGCCTTGCTTGGTGAGCGCCATGAAGTGATCCAGTTCATGTTGGAGCGTGGAGCCCTGTCCATTGCAGCCATCCAAGACATCGCTGCCTTCAAAATCCAGGCTGTCTACAAAGGATACAAAGTCAGAAAAGCTTTCCGAGACCGGAAAACTCTCCTCATGAAGCACGAACAGTTGAGGAAAGATGCAGCTGCCAAGTAAGTGAGCATCGGAGATGCTACGCTCCGGGTCAGGAGCAGGGTGGAGAGGGTGGCTGCGGAGGCAATCCGGAGAGAGGCTGAATTCCTCTGGACCCTTGTACTGGTGCCACTTTCCCCCACTGCTCACCTCATCCTCCTCTCCTGAGGGGGGCGCTACAATGAAGTGAGAAGGCCTAATCTCTACCCAATGGCTGTTCTCTGTGCCAGTCCTCCGATGTTCAAACCCAAGGTACACCACTGCCACCCTCAACCAGGACAAGGAGCTATGGGCGGGGCTGTTACCCAGAGTAAACAATAGGTAGACAACCTTTCCAAAGTAAACTTAAACTGTATCCACCTGCTTCGAGTACACTAACCTAGGTGTCGTTTCGATTTGTTCAAAGTAACTACATAACTTAGATTCGCTCCCTTCCTTCACCTACCCATTACTTACCAAATCTCTACTAATGAAATAAAGTTGCTTATTCAAGCAGTGTTGGTTGAATTATCACTATCCATACAAGACCATTGGCTAGGGGAGGAATGGTGACTGAAAGCTAATTGTCTGCCTCAGCGGTCTCTTCATACTTTAGTTACAAAATAGTTTGTACCCATGATGCCATGTGATTGTTTCCCCATGGTTATTGAACTATAAGTGATTGGCTTGAATTATGCTTTGGTTTTCCTTTTCTCTGATGCCTGTGTCAAGGAGCAGGAGAGTGTTGCCTTAGCTAGCATAAGATGCCCACACTGCTGATGACAAAGATGGGGCTGGCAAGCAGGTTCTTGAAAGATCCCTTTCTGACTGTATCCTGAGTGCTTCCAGATCTCGTCTTCCCCACTCTTAAGCCCTTCCTTACGTTTCTTGCACACAATGGAGAAAACGTAGGCATAGAAAATTTCAACAGTTACTACCAATAACCAACAAAAATCAGAATGAAGGGCAAGATAAGCCATTTTGGTGAGAAGTTGAATAATACTATGAACTGGGATATGCTAACCATAATGCCAACCTTTGAAAGACAAAACTGACAGAAACATGTCATTTTCGGTGACTTTGAAGCTACCAGTGGCATCCTACAAAATGCTACCTTGTACTCTTATTGATACTCTTTTCTCTCTTCGCTTCTGTCAAAGAAACCACTAGCAACTGAAAACCTGCCTCTTTTCCCAGCCTTCTTATGTGCATTCTACGCAGGAGAGCAGCACATGGAAGTGGGTGATGCGTATTTCCCCATCATTTGGAGTTGCAAGTCACTGTTCCTTCTCTACTCTTTTCAGAAACTCCAATTTATTGAGTGAGATGCTATATTTAGAATGTTAAGTCACATCTGCCTCTACAAGACACCGTGACTTTTGTACGTCCCCTAAAGAAGTGTATTAATCCAAACACTGCATTTGGATGTTGGAGAGAACGGGCCCTGGAGTCTCCTCTCCTCCAACTTTCCCCAGTGGAATTGGAAGGCTATAGTGGAGAAGGAGGAGGAGGGCATGCTGACTTGGGATGCCTTGACTACAGCTCCTCGCTCCCTCCCGGGCTCAGTGTAAAAAGTGACACCCTGGACCAGTTGATTTCTCGGCAGCACGCTGCACTTGCCAGTCTGCACATCTTCATTCTTAGTGATCTCTAGCCTCTGCTTCCTCCCCTTCCCCTGCTGCACAATCTCGAGCCTTACACCTGTGGTTAGAACTAAGACTACATGTGTCAGAGGCTCTTCTATACAGAGGAAGAGGCTTAAAGAGGGACAAACTTAAGTCGCACCATAGCTCACACTATTTGTTTTTCGGATTTCAGTCCTAAGGGTATGAGATGACAAGGGGATTTTGTTGTTGTTGTTGTTGTTATCCTAATTAGTTTCACTATTCCAAAAGGTAAGTCCTCTCTGTTCTGATGTTAATTTTTAAAATCTTTCAGATGGGAATTGTGCTTGCTTGTGAGTTTTGAAATGGCCAAACCTGAGCGTTTTTCTTCTGCTTTATTTCTTCTCAATTATATTCTTGAATTTACTCAGTACCACTATTATTCCGTTGTCCCTCTCACAGCTTTCTCTAGTTTTTCTACTTGGCTGATAATTTATTGCGGTGGCCACCCAGAACTTTGAGACAATGCTCACGACTGTTGGTTTTTAAGGAAGTTAACAGGATACAGGTGCCCAGGATGCAATTATTCAAACAGGACAGCCCCTTCTTAGCCTTGCCTGCATATAAGCCTCTCTGGTCGTTGGCCTCTCAGTCACTTGGCCCCTAGGTCTCTGCCCTGTTTGCACAATGTTACAAAGCCCTTTTAAGACTGCCAATACTTGCAGGTAACCTCCCCCCTCCCCCAGGTAAGCATCCCTAAAGCACTCGGCTCTAGCCCCGCAATTAGGAGTCTGGCAGCACCCTACTCCACAGGCCATCCTCCTGCCCAGAGGCACTCAGCTCCACTGGTTCTGTGGACTGGCAAGCCCACCACGCTAGCTGTTGCCCCTCTGCTGCTCTTGGGGTGTCAAAGCTGTCACCTAAACCAAAGGGGTTCACGAGGCAGGGATCTCGGTGTGTTCTTTGGGTTCCAGTTCTGTTCGTGGGAGATTCTCACCGTCCCGCCCTGCACAGGGCTTCTGAGACGGCTGGCTTGATCCCCAGCAGGATGGCAGTCAGAGTAATCCTGTGATCCTCTCAGAGCGGCATCTCAGTCCTGTCGCACCTTCCCACCTTCTCTTCCCCAGACCCATCAGGAAAAAGCCTTTGGCTGGGAGCCCCAAAGACTGGCTAGCAGAGCCGTAACAAATAATTCACTGCCCTGCAGATGTAAATAACTTAGCTGTCCCTGACTGCCGGCACTCATTGGAGGGTGCATTCCTAAGATAGATCGTTAAATGGAGCAGAGCCTGATTTGATTTCTTTTCATTTTAGTTCTCAAATATGTTTCTTAAAATTTAAGTCACTGTGTTTGTTTTAATTTGCATCCCTGTTTCTGTTTTGCTTTCCCCTTGGTCCTTGCTGCTGCTGCATCATCCACTGAGGTGGCCTGGGCGTGTCAGGTTGACCATGTGAGGATGACAGGCATCTCCTTTCCTAAAGAGATGTTTTGAAAGGGCCTTATTAGACTTGCAGAGAGACATTGGGCAAGAGAAGTTTCAGTCATATTTTCTAAGGTGTGTCTTGTAGAAAATACTGTTTTAAGCTCTATAATCTATTTAAAAGCACTTTATAACCCACACTGTGCCACCTAGCTGGTTGCCAGCATGAGCATTATGTAATTTACCTGCCACCGCATTCTGTTGGGTGCACACTAAGTAAACCCATGTTTATGCTGATCACTCTTCCTCCTTGACATTTCCCTTTTGCCACCTCTAATTTCGCTCTCTAACTCCAAATAGCCTCCTGTTCTCTAACTTTCTCACCTCTTTTTAGTTAATCCACCCCACACTGGTGTCACCATAGTCAGACTACTCTTGTTTTCACTGAGAGTTTCTTCATTCCTAAAACTTAAATGTTTTCATCTCCGCTCCCATCCTGACCTGAAACTCAAATTCCATCTCTCCAATTGCCTCATGGACATGGCCACTTTGCTTAACTTTTGTCCATTGCCATCATTTCGGATCACTGGACATTTCTGCTTAAATGTCCTGTTTTCAGCTTTGTTTAAGTCTCTCTCTGTAAAACCTACAAATTGATTGCCTTATTTTCCTGCTAATGCTGCCACCATTAATTTTTAAAATTATCATTTGAAATGTCCTTTCATGTCTCTCGCTTTCATCCTTCTGTATCACAGTTCTATCCAGGCCATCATTTTAAAATACCAGCCACGACGCTATCTCAGACCGTTCAACCTCTCACCCCTGCTCACATCTCCAGGCCTTACCTCTCCGCACAGCCAACATTCTCACATGCGCGTCCTAATGCCCCAACCTCCCAGAGCTTTCTTCTCTTACTCGCCAACCATGCTCTTTAAAGAGACCTGAGCTGCTGTCTGGCCAGTGTATGAGATGGTACATCTTAACAGTTAGATTGGCCTAGTATTTGTCATGCAGCTCACACTCCTGTGAGGCCCTGGCTCCTTCTACAGGAAGTTGTTCCATGTGCTCAACTAGTCAGCTGCTCAGCTCTGGAACGCTGTGCCTCGCAAGGCAGCATGTGCCCTGAGTGGACTGTGCTCTCTCGTAAAGCTCTTTTCTCCCCTCTGGTGTTGCAGCTGCCCCTCGAAGTCAACCAACAGTGTGTAAATCCTTTTCACAAATAGGCGACCAGATATTTGAAGACGTTCCTATTGCCCCTGTCATTATACAGGTCCTTTCCACTGTAGAATTGGGCCTGTGACAGCCTGCTCCCCTGAGCTGGTCCAGGTTGTCGACATCTTCTTCCAAAGTTGATCCAGCAGCTGACTCTTGTGCTCACCCTGTGGTGTGACCCCGGAGAATGCTTCCACTGGGCCCTTCCTGCCACTTCCGGAAGCCTCCTCTCCCACCAGTAAAATGGTGTCTGGGATGGGCTTTGTGTGCCATGACCATGTGCGCATTTTGGACGAGAGAATCTTCAGATTTTTTATCACATTCTCAAAGGAAGTCAATGATTTTTTTTAGGTTGAAAAGCCCGTGGGGCTAGATGATCTCTGAAGTCCCGTCCAGCCCTGACATTCTGAGGCAAAGGTCTGGAACCGCATGACATTCTCTCATTCCCTTGAGAGGATGTCCAGGACCAAATATGACTAAGCCTGTTATGCAGTGACGATGGAGAGAGAGGGCCTGACGGAGCCCTAGCTTTCACCCCGCACCAGCCGACAGGGTTAGGGCTGGCCCTTTTCTCTCCTGTGAGGTAGTCATGTCTTCTCACTGGAACTGTTCCCACAGACGGGAAAGATCATCGCTCCAGTAGACCACACCAGGAATGCCAGCAGCAATGTGAGAAGCTGGTTTCTGAGGTCCCTGCTGAATCAGGTTCTATCAGCATCTTGGTTGCGGGTGTTTGCTCATGCGGTTCCCTCAGCCTGAACGCCGTTGACCTCTTTCTCTGACATTCTTTGTATGTAGCCTTCT